ACGCTGCTTTTAATGGTAATTTACGCATGGTGGAACTCTTCCTCGCAAGGGGAGACATACAAGTGAACGTGCAACAGGCCCCTCCACTGTTCTATGCTGCCAAGAAGGGTCACGTGGAAGTCATACGCCGATTGCTTTGCTGTGACACCATCGACATCAACCAGCAATATTGGAACAGCTCGCCTCTCTGTGTTGCCTCCGAGATGGGCCACCCGGAGGTTACAAGATTACTCCTTGAACACACAACACCCCCCGACCTCAATCTCAAAACTTATATGGGAGACACTGTTGAGATTCATGGCTTGCTCAGGCATCTCCAGGCATTAAATGCCCGCTTCGCCAAGCATGAAGCTCATGATCAGCATTGACCTACCATGTAGAGTATAGTTCAGGAGAAATGCTTCTCATTAAATAGGATCTCTCTCTCATGGAGAGAGAGATTAGACTTAAACCACCTCGTTGGCCTTGACCTACAAGCGTACTAGCATCATTCATCGTATTTCCAGTTTCAACAGACACTGCACTTTCCTTGGCCGCTTACGATGGTAATTTGGCTATTATAAATCTCTTGCTGGAGGAAAACGGGCTGGATGTTACCGCTACTGACAAATTCGGGGACACGGCGTTATGCAAAGCAGCTCGGAATGGACACGAACAAGTTGTCAGCGTCTCTGCAGGGACACTCGTGCAAAATGTGCTAGTGATGTGAAAAGGGCTATTGAAGCAGCTTCCAACTGTAGAATTGCGCTCTACCTTGAAGGTCACTTGGATAAGGAAGGCAACTTTTGTACTTGGCCTTGAACTACAGGTAGGCTGTGATTACTTTGTTGGATTCATCTTTCAGCGTCTGGGCTCCAACAAATCATGTAATTCACGCACATCTCCCCTAAATATGGTTATCAACGCGCCGACAATATTTTCATCTCTTCGTTCTCTCACTTTTACAAGAGTAGCTCGCTTGTACCTATAAGCACCCTCCAATGTGCGGAGTTGGGTCAAATTTCTCCTTGAATTACGCTTTCGGTAAATCAGGGTTATTGCACAGGCGGTGATAGGTTAGGGTAGGGTGGAATGGCACGGGGTACTTTCTTTGATAGTGAGTTAACTCGCAGAATATTTTGACTTTTTGAATGGAAATTGTAGGCACATCTGGCGGGTGATCAAACGTTGACTTGTTCACAGAGGAAGCGATCAGGAAAAGAAATATGAGCTTGTTATTGCGGATTGAACATATCCCTCCCTCAAAACCTCTATTTAAGGCCGTGAAGGATTCAACAGTCAGTCAACGTTTCTGACCGACTCAGCATCCCTTTTCTTCAACATGGCTCTTGCTAGTTCTCACTGCATCTCCAAAAACATCAAAAGTGTTGCTGCAAATAGTTGCGGGGGGAAAATTGGCTTTCAACAGCCCTCAATAGGAATAGGTTTCCCTCGACATTTCCTACCCAGCTTGCAAGTGAGAGAAGCCGAGAAGCCTATAAATACGTCCTCTGCCCTCGGCAATTTGCTCTACGATCAATTCACTTGACTCTGCAAAGTCAAGCAGTCACTTGATAAGTTCTTCCCTTTGGCCTCTACTTCCACTGTACTAACATCTATCAAATACATCGTGGACCTGAAACAAGGTCGGTGTGAAGATGTGATTTCCAGCAATTTCACTGTGCTGGATAAAACTTTGCATCACGCCAAACACTAGCGCGTGGGTTGAAATCAATCGCAAGCCCCAGCCTCTACACTCACGGGAAGCATTCTGCTTCCATTCCACCATTCCACCATTCCAATTCGGTCAATTCCTCAATTCCCCCCTCCCCAGCCTTCATCATTGGCAATACTTTAGCCATCCAATTCTCGTTCACTCACCAAGAGCCGTTTCGTTCTTTTCCGCTCGCGTTATTCTTGCTGCCTGAAACTACTCAGAATGCCACCATTTCAGTTCAGAGGAAATTCAAACTACCGTGGCTCGCGCCTGAATCCAAAACATGAATTCGGATTCCGCTACCGGCAACCTCCCACTGCATACCGACCGCTGCTGTCTAGAAAGAGAGAAACCACCGAAAAAACTTCAAGATGGAACTAAGATATTCCTCCACTCGAGTTCGCCTTCTCGTCTGCTTGAGCGTAGGGAAGAGGCCAACATGGACACGTCCGATGATGCCTCCGACACTGAGCGATTATGCAAGAAGCGCGCAATGGGTCTTAATGGGCCCCAAGACACTACGCTAATCCCCCCCCCCCCGGCGAGCAGAGGCTCAGGGATGGTCCAACCCGGATCCATACACCGCGCTACCCCCACCAAGCCAACAAATGGATAACAGTTTCGACATTGTCAAGCTGATTCGCAAAGCGAGGCTTGACAATGCAGCGAAGGTAGAAGAGACAGATGAACTCAAGGAGAACTTGGATTTCGTTTCCTTCGGCATGACATCAGAATCAGAACCTCAGAGCAACGCTCCGAGAACACCGCCAACATCGCCCCCAAAGGGCCAGCACGCCAGAAAAGTATGTATTCTGCCAATCCCAGTCGAAAGCCGAACCAGTGGGGCCCAATCAAACACCATTGTAAAAAGACTGGCAATGCTGCAAGCAAGTACGACTACGACGGTTCCGTTATCAGTGAGCGAAGACCACTGTCTCAAGAGCTGGGCACGCCTTGGTTTGAATCCACTCCGTCTTCCTTACGCGTAGGATCCAGTCAGTATTCTCTCTGTCCTCTCAATCGCTATTGAGTAGCTCCTTTTCTAACCCGCACTAGGTTAGATCACGAGATTGTCAGCTTCTATGACTGGGCCAAGCCACAGGAAATTGAAAACATTGTCCGCAGAGATCTCGTCGAACGATTGGATACTGCATTCCAGAATCGGTACGGCGGCATTGAAATCCATGGCTTTGGCTCTTTTGGCTCTGGTATCTATCTGTCTACTGCCGATATTGACCTTGTGCTACTGTCAGACACGTTTAGACGCACAGGGGTGCGTTCCTTGGGCGAAAGAAAAGGTCATATACACGCAATTTCGGGCTTCCTGAAAAGCACCAATATCGCTGTTCCGAACTCAATTGAATGCATTGCACATGCTCGGGTGCCGATCCTAAAGTTCGTGGACAGGGTGACTGGGCTGCGTGTCTTTCCCGCTTTGTATCATTCCACAGGGTATTATGTGATGATCTCTCTCAATGAACGGCTGGTGATCTATGGCCTTCCATCTGAGCTGGTGTCCCCTCGTGACACAAGCATGGGTGGGCCCGACCACATAGCGTGCAATCTGGATCGATCTGTTGATCGCCAATACGAACGCAAGACTTCGGAGTTGCAGACCAACCTAAACCCACTTCAAGTGAATCCGGCTCCATATCATGGAACTAACAAACGGCGAAGGGTCTTGCAGTTTCAAAGGGATGAGTGAATCGGTGAGCAAAGCTAGTCCAGCTCCAGTCTCCGCATGAGAATCGTTTCTGGTTGTAGAAACATATGCCTAGCAGGTTTGTTAGTGCCTTTTCAGTCGTAAGCCCCGATCAAAAATCACTTGCTCTGGAATATTTGGAGAAATTTTTCCAACCTAGGCAATGGACATGTAAATGGCCCTTACCTGATCAATTCTCAGTCCACATCCAACCAACTTCATGAACTGGGTCATCCTTGAAGTGAGATAGAATACTTGGGTTTTCAAGTATATATCGCTTATAACAACGAAAGTCAATTATAGGAATGCCGATGGTCAAAAAAGGCGACGCCAGCAACCAATCTTTGACTGGGAATCCCTGCTCAGCTCAATCCTTTTAACCTGCCTCATGCAGTACACCCATGCGCAAGATCACATCCTTGGGAACCGCTAGGGTCTATGTAACCATTGCAGCAAGTGATTAGGTCTCGAAAAATTATATACAGTCTCCAAGGGGCCAAGATAATTCCAGTCAGTCTCCGGGCACTTGGACCGTTGATGGTTTAGCGTATCGGGGATATCGGAATTTGCCCCGGCTACGCACTAGCGACTAGGTATCTTTCTCAGGGTACAACCAAACGATGGACAAATCCAAACAATTGCCTTTTACTTCATGCCGGTACGGCGTATCGGGTAGTGCGGATAGTACGAGCTTCTCAATGCCTTTGGCTAGTTTCCACAAATCCTGAAATTGTTGTACGAATATGGCCGTGCTGCGGCAGATCCCGACCGTGTCGATCACCGTCAGCGCCTAAAGATTGGCCAGGCCTTTCTTATTTTGGCCCCGTTGGAGCCATGGATCGTCGATCATACTACGGAGATTGGAAAGTAAAGAGCTCCCTGCCCATTGCCTTGACCAGCTCCCTATGCTCGTAGAAAGTATTTCCAAAATGCCTCACGTTCTTGATTTCCCACCTAGATACCTTTGCGTAGTCAAGTTACTCGGCCATACGCATGAAATGCTTCCATCTGTGCGGTGTTGCCTTTACCAGATCCCCAACTCAATGAAGGCGATGGGGGCCGAAAACAGAGCCACTGAATCTCAGGGGTAAACATCAAGGGGTCGGTCCACCGTACGCGGACCAGGCCCCGGCCAATCCGGATCAACGTCAATACCCATGCCCTATCGTCATTCACACTTCGGGGCTCTCAGGCAAAGAAGGTTGCCGATACTTCCGATGCGGATAGCCGCGTCACATTTCCCGAGCCGGAAGTCTCGCATCAAACTAGTTTCAATGTGCTTGCATTAGTGGAAGAGCTAACCAAGCCTCTTGCGCGCTAATCAAATCCATCACCAACGGCGCTCGCTACAACCAACAAATACCACATATCATTGGCTTTGCTCCGTCGCAACCCGCAAGTGAACGGTCGTTCCAACCCGGTCTAGGACGAATCAAAATGAAAATGAAGATTTGCCCTCGTTCACCACGAGGTCGGTCTGGACATCTGTTCAACAATATTTATCGGGCATATTGAACCTTTTGATCCCAAACGTAGGATTCTGACCATCGAAACATGGAAGAAAGCCCCGACGCCCCGGAACCTCCTCTATCGGTTCAAGACCAGTGTGGTTCCGAATTGGACTTGATTGTCCGTCATAACCCTGATCAATTGCAAAAAATTCCTGATTTACGCACCAAAATCGAGTCAATTCTTGCGTCGTTGGAGTCATACTCTACCGCTCTCGATGAAGGAAAGGGTATCGCGAGGCACCTGAACGTACCTCTACTCGGCAGCAGATTGGAAGACATCATTGGCGGCTCCTTCAGCAGCCCTTGCCCGCGTGTCGTTGAGAAAAGTGGTCCGGGGAATGACTATGGAGTTACTCCGGGCTGGGTAGATCTCATTAGGGACGCAAGACCTGGCCAGTTCGAACCCCATGGCAATGAAATGTTTCATTACCGTACGCAAGGTCTGACAATAGAAATGAACAAACATGACCGGGAAGCAGTTTGCTCTCCTGTTTTTCGGAAGATATTCTGCTCGGGGCCCCTCCCCGAGGATCTGAAAGCAGAGCAGGAGACTATTACTGCGCTGCTAGGCGACATATCTGAGCTGGGTAAAGACATGATGCAAGGTGAGAAGTCACAGCTATCGTGAAAGATTCATGTACCAAGCGGCTAAATCTCATTAGCATTTGCGAAGATCCAACACGTCGTGAAACAACTCAAAGATTTTAGCAACAATCTCTCGGCTCCGACCGGAATCGTACCCTCCTCCCCTGACCCTGTTGACCAGGGGCCGATCATGTCTTCACAGCTTTCATCTCTCGGATCTTCAGTTGAAAATTCGGGGGGTGATGAGGATTGCACCGTGCCAATTGATGGACCACAAACTCCCCCTCCTGATACCCGACTAGTGCAAACTCAGCAAATCACGCCGCACGGAGCCCCTGCTGCATCTGAAAGAGTAACCATTTGCACAAACACCGGGGAGGAAGGCGTGCTTCCCTCACAGCCTCGCCACCGCTGGACGAGGGCAGAGAAAACAGCATATGCGGACTTTATGCGTGGCCGATGTCATATGTCCTGGCCAAGGATAGCAGACGATTACTGGAAGACCACGGGGAATCGGCTTAGTGCTAATTCTCTAAGGCAGCAGGCTAAGCGAATGGGAATCCAAGTAGAGTGTGGAATGCCGGAAAACCCTTCGAAATCGAGCCGATCGAGCCGATTGAGCCCCTTGGTGCTGAAGGTCAACTTCCCTCCGCACTCAGGGAAGCCGTCCAAGAATGATCAACAACCAAATTCCATCGGAATTATGCAATATGGAGACCATGGGGTAGGCGACAGACCAGAAGCCTCCCAAACGCACGGGCATAACACTGAGCCCAAATACTCCGTGCCGAATTCACCGTACTCACCCCAAGATATACCCATTTCCAACGACATGCGCAACCTTCAAAGTCAAGGCTCCGGCCAAGATTCTGCCGGCCAGCTGAACTGGATATTAAACTGACTTTACGAATCCAAATTTTGTGCGTGATGTCCACTTGGCTATCTTTGTGCAATATAAGTTGAGTTCGTCCCGTCAACATTGGAATAGCTTCCATCCCCTTCAAAATATAGTTCAAATAGTCCAATAAGTTTACCATTTGCTCCATAGGTATTATATGTAAGCTGCTGCTCCGGATAAAATCCCTGTCCGAAGGGAAATCGAAGGCCCCGGGAGTCCGACGTAAGCTCCTAGAGGTCAACTACAGGTCGATAGGAACTCGTGCCACGATCCTGGGAACCCGTCGCACGATACAGTACGTACAAAAGCAATGTATTGACTCATGCCAAAGATCAATGAAGTGGAGTCTGATAAGTGCCCCTGTGGGGAAGGATCCTCTCAGACGCCGAGACGCGTCTTGCTTCAATGCCAGACATACGGCGTATTGAGAAAGCGTCTATTTGACCAGTTGCATCGAGCAATTGGGCCATTTGAGCTGTCTAATTATGACAGCATCGTCTCTAACCCGTTGGCAACCCGCTACGTTCCCAAATTCATGCACCAAACCGGTCTTCTTGCTCAGTTTCAACACGCTGATCAAGAAGAGTCCGATGATGAATCCGGAGACCATGAGGCCATGGAGCAGAGTCCCGAAGACGCTGGGCACTCACCACCGCTTGCCACCACGTTTGAGGAAGGAGAGAGCCTCACTCAGCTATTCGAATACACACTGCCTGGCTGGGCAATGAACAACGATAATCAGCAATCGAGGCTGAAGTGAGGATGTCGGAGAACGGGGTTTGATCTGCAGCAGTATATATGGGCTGGGATCTTGACAAGGAGGTGTTTACATGAATCGTGAGAAGAGGACAGGGGAGGTGGAGGTGCATCCACGCGCTCATTTTGTATTCAATGCATCACTGGCATTGAATTTCTCATTTGTACTGCGGGTTTCATGGGTTTGACTTACATGTAATGGGCTGGTGCTTCCACTCTTTGAGAACCAGCCTCACTTTTTGTACTGGAGCATGATCAGGCGTACGGACACGAGTTCTTGCTTCAACCGGATAGAAGCGCCTGCATAGCCATTACGATACTAGTTAGGCTCCAACAGGTTAATAGAACTTTGATTGATTGATTGATTGATTGACTCATGCCAATTTACTTTGTTCTTTTTACGCATGAATGGAAGATAGTTCCCAATCGCCATCCGGCTTGTGTCACATGGTTCCGTTCTAATGTCGTCTAAGACCTAGGCTGTCATCATCTTGTCATCCAGCTGTTCGATACTTCAGCAGTGGATATTCAAGAGGCTCACCTGCACATGTGTTCGGTATTGCTGTCTGAAACGCAAGACCGAGGAGATACTGCTGGTTATAGCAACGAAAATATCCATCAAAATATTCCGGTATAATTCTGACTCCCTGATGGCTGGCATATCTCGTGTCTCCATATCAAGTCTCTTGATGGATACCCTGTCGTAATCAATCCCACATAACAGATGCTGCAAAAGCTTCACAAGAGCTTCTCTTCATTAACTTAAACCATCTCACTCGATTGCAGATACATACCAGATTTAGGTAGATTGAAGGGTCTTCTATATTGGATTTCTGGCGGCCACCAGTACGGCAATTCACCACTCAAACTTTCTAGTGGGGCAATCAGATCAATCCATCTTTCCAACAGGCATTGGCAGACAGAATGTGGGAGCATATTGAGCTTTACTCCACAATATTGCAATAGAAAGCCAATGTAGTTCGGGCTTGGGGACTGTGTATGAACGAGAGAGTCCATGCCTGTCTATAATAGCCTTTGATCATCGGTTCACTTGGGGAATTGCTCTTTTAGAAGTAGCTTGATCGCTCAGCGTAATATGTCGGAGGTCCGTGCCCAAAATGACGAGGCCTGAGAATTTTTTTAAGTTGCCTAGCAAATAGATCGTCGTTATTTTCGCAACTTCCGATTCAAACGTAGAAGGGGCTGCCAGCAGTT